CTCTGTGCTGAGCCTTGAAGACTCAGGAGGATGCAGCCTTGTAAAGAAATGGAGAAGGGGCATTCTAAGGTGAGACAGCGAAAGCAAAGGTCCTGAGGCAGAAACCAGCATGGGGTGCTTGAGGACAGAGTGAATACAGGTGCACCTACAGCCAAGTAAGTGAGGCGACAGTCCAAAAAGCTGAATTCAGAGGGATGGGCAATGGCCAGATCCTACAGGCTCCTGGAAGTCATGAAAATGATTAAAAATAGCAATAAAAATAATATAATAGTCATTATTATTACTGCTGCTATAAATAAAACGCCATTTTCCAAAACACCAGGCTTTTCTAACTTAAGAAACACCATGCTGCCCCTCTCCTACTGTTTTTCCATCCTTCTCCAATATGTCATCCTGCTGGAGTGCAAGCTTCCAATCCCATTTCGGCCGACAGCTATAAAAAGAACGTTGGAGCTGGTGGTGCCGATGACCCAACTTGGGGGCTAAGATTAGCGCAGGAGGCTGTCACCTTTCCTTAATGTGAGAACCAGCTGGGGTTCCTCTTCCTTGGAAAACTTCAACCCGTTCCACTCCGCCCCGCCCCGCAGCGCCCTTGCCAGCCCAACTATCCATGGAGATGGGAACGGGGATGCGTTTTGGAAAAATGAAGTTGAGCAACAGGGATTCCCCCTGCAGAAGGCTGTCCCCGGGCTGGGAGGCGACTGCTTGGGGTCAAGGGAGCAGGACCAACTCCCTGCAAACACAAGATGCGCCCCCTGTTTGTCGGGGCCCCGAGGAGCCAGACATCCCTCAAGGGAGGGAAGCCCACCACTTGGGCAAGGGGAGCACAGGCGCATCTCCGAGACCCTTGCTTTTCTGCAACCACCAATCCAGAAACCCCGTTCGTCCTGGATTCCCTAAGCTAGGCATGAAAGAGCTCTGCACGGGTCCTCTCGAACCCGGTGACCCCACTGTAAAATCCAAAGGTCTGTGTCACCACAAAACGATTCACCTCAGTGGCTCAAAACAGCTGAAGGGACTTTGGGCAAACTAACCTGGTTCTGAGCTTCCTCAGACAGAAGAGCTCACAGTCAAGGGTGCAGATTCTAGAACCAGTCTGCCTGGGGTCGAATCCCACACTGCCAGTTAGCAGCTGTGTGATCTTCAGGAAGTGACTTAACCTCTCTGTGCTCAGTCTCTCCTTAGGAAAGTTAGAAGAGCTCTCTGGTAGAGTTGTCATGAGGGACCCGGTGACTTAGTACACACCAAGTACCTGAACAAGGCCGGGCGCAGGGCTCATCATTATTATTGTTTTTCAATGTCCCCCTGGTTCCATGAGGTAAAATCTAACTCATCTTTGTTATTCCACAGCCTAAATATAATGATAATCATAAAGACTAATGTTTCCTTAGCATCTATAATGTGCCAGGATCTGTACCCCCAACTCCTATCATCTGCTCTTCTCTCGTGAGAAGCAAGTCCCCTGTATTTTACCAAAGAGGAGACTCGGGCTCAGAGAGGGGACAGGACTTACCCAGGACGCCAAATGTGTATTTAGTAAAACGCACATCATGGATTCACCCCCAGGCCTCCTGAGCTCAGAGCCTGTGCTTGCCACCATGGCCTGAGCCATTCTGACCGGAAGGACAACAGCAAACATTCAGTGAGCAGCTCCCCGCGCCCTAAGGGCACACTGCCTGTGCGCCCTCCACTTAACTCTGAGCGGGGGTGGGAGGCGGCATTAGTACCTCATTTCAGAGAGAGGGAAACGGAGGCCCAGGGAGGTTGGACATGAGGACAATGCTGGCTGTGTCCTGGGGTGAGCCGCCTCTCTTCTCCACGCTTGGCTGGCTGCCCCCCACGGGTCCCAGCTTAGAGGAGACAGTCCGTGGAAAGCACAGACAGCCGCTAGTAGGCTTCCTTAGTAATCCTTCACTTATTAATTAATTCCTTAATTACTCCTCATTCCTTATTAATACACAACTTTTCCGAGCTGAAGCAGACTGTTCTCCTCCCTCCAAGAGGTAAACTGTGAAATTTCTCCTGAAACCAAGAGAAAGTAAGCTGGAGAGGAAATGCCATTGTTCATTCACTCGACAAATAGGCGACGCCCCCACGCAGCGTCCCAAGTACCTGAGCTCCTGGGAACCACGAAAGCTGGCTGGTTCCTAACTCTGTGAGGGACCTGGTAGGACCAGGCCTCTCTCCAAGCCACCCCGATCCCAGTTCCATCAGTGGCCCACCTGCCCCCGACGACACCTGCCAACCTGGGTGTGGGTAACAAGACATCTGTTTATCGCCCGCATTTTCCCCTCTGCTGACAAGGGGTCATGAGCCCAGAGGCTTCTTGAGGGGGTCCACGGAAGGCACACTCGGCGGTGTCCTCGCATAAGAGGCCATCAGAGCTGGAGCAGCTAACGTGGGCTCCGTCATTTCCATCCCATGCCACCCTCCACTGGAGAACTCACCGTGCCTCCGTATCGCCTTACCCCTATGCTGGCCAACCCAAGGCCATGTCTCCACCTGGCGCTGGGAAACCTCTCTGTTCTTCTGGCCTCTGTCTGCTTATCTCAAAGTACCAGTCACGTCGGTTGGCTCTGGTTTACAAAAGCCTAGACGATTCCTGCAGCAGACACTCACTTACATTGTTCCACCATCTGAAAAGTAAGCCTCCAACCAAGATGCTTAACACTGTGCATGCCTCCATGAAGCCACCACACCATAGGGAGGCCTTAAGTCTAGGAAATAATACCAAATAGCATTAGTTAATGTGTACTGAGCACTATGTACCAAGCATTTTTTAAGTACTTAACGTGTAGGAATTCTTAATCCTGTGACCACCTTAGGACGTGGGACTGTCTTCACCCTCATCACACAGAAAAGAAAACTATTGCCCAGAGAGGTTAAGTAAGCTGCCTGTGGTCACACAGCTAGAAAACAGTGGTGCTGGATTTTGGCTGAAGAGCATGAGCTCTTACCTAGCTGACGAAAGGGATGGAGAGAATGTTGATCTCTGTGTTACTTATAATAGCACGGAGTTGGGAGCAGCCAAAGGCATAATAAATGAGTAATGGCTAACTGAAGTATTAGATAAACCTAGGATAGAAGCAATGTATCTGTTTAAATGTCTGCATCCCTAACCCCTCACTACACCACCTCGGCCCCTCAAACCCACGGTGACTGACCACATACCCTTTAAACCACTTCCAAACCCACCTGTCCATCTCCAGCCCCTAGGGCCACAGCCTTCCTTAATGTCACGCCTAGTCACAGAGCCAGCCCAACCCAACGGGAGGCGTTGTGTGAATTGAGAAGAAACACCCCTTCCCCAGGACACCCTGCTTCCTCCTGCCAGTGGCTGTCTTAGTAATACACAGATTGATGATGTACCCGTTTGAATGGCAGTCCCTAGAGGAGACACCCTTGTGCAGTGCACTGTCCTCACAACTGAACAACCTGCCTAGTGTAGTCTCCGTATCATCCTAAAGACAGTAAACAAACAAATATGAATATCACCTTAGAATGAACCTACTGAAATCATGTCCGTTAGAGAAAAAAGTTAGGCTAGCATCAAATAAGTACATAACTTGAAATTTATCCTACATCCTGGGGTGCCTGGGTGGCTCAGTCGGTGAAGCGTCTGCCTTCAGCTCAGGTCATGATCTCAGGGTCCTGGGATTGAGTCCCACATCAGGCTCCCCACTCAGTGGGGAGTCTGCTTCTCCCTCTGCCCCTCCACCCACTTGTGCTTACTCTCTCTTTCAAATAAATAAATAAAATCTTAAAAAAAAAAAGAAAGAAATTTATCCTGCTTTAGATCATTCTCTTTTTACCATGTCTTCACTGGCAGAAGCTATTAATACCCAGCATATGGAACAAAGAATATACATGGACAATAAGCAAAAACATTAAACCTCTCATAGCAAAGGAGTGTGTAGTAAAGAGAAGCACCAATTTGGTAAATGTTTTTTAATTAAAAAAAAAATTGGCGGGCTCCTGGGTGGCTCAGTGGGTTAAGCCTCTGCCTTCGGCTCAGGTCATGATCCTGGGGTCCTGGGATCGAGCCCCACATCGGGCTCTCTGCTCAGCGGGGAGCCTGCTTCCCCCCGCCCCTCTCTGCCTGCCTCTCTGCCTACTTGGGATCTCTGTCTGTCAAATAAATAAAAATAACATCTTAAAAATATATAAAATAAATAAAAATAAAAATGAAATGGCACTTCTGGGATGGGATGAAACCATTCCTGACATGGCGGTGATGGAAGTTTGAATGCGTAGATTTCCGGAAGGGAACTAAAGCTCTCAAAATGACTACACAGAAATCCCACTTTAGGCTCTGAGTACACAGCGACCGGCGCTCACATATACAAGATTAGTTCGTTAATCCTAATGGTGTAGAAGCTTCGCTGCGGCACCATTTGTCATAAAAACACAAGTAGCTCATGTTTCCTGGCCCACAAGAAGCCTGGCGCTCTTACGATGACTCAACAGGTATTAACCTAGTTAGCCTTCCCGACAACACTGTGGGGCAAGAACCTTTGTTATTATCATTCTGTGTATAAGGAAATGAAGACACAGAAGGGGAGGTAACGTGCCTACGATCACAGAGCGAGCCGGTGACAAACTTGGCATCTGCACCCAGGAGACCCAGGGCCAGGGCAAACTTACTGGCCATGTTGAACGGCCACCCCTTTGGATAATAGTAAAAAGTTGGAAAGTTTTGCCTATGTTAAAAAAAATAGTTGAAAAAAAAAAACAAAACGGAAGTTTGGGGTCGGGGTTCAACCTCATCATCCAATGGAACAACCCAGGACCAGCGAGGGCACATGGCCTACCATCTAGCATGGTAGATTCCCCCACCTCGAACTGTAGGACATCAGCTGCGGAAGGTTCTCGAGCTGAGAAGACTAGAAAGCCCAGCCCAACAGAACCGATCCCCGCAGGCGATGCTGTTTGCAAGAAAAGAAGACGGTGCTTTGGTCTGGTGCTGGCACACAACGGAAGAGCTCAAAAAGCCCCCTGACCTGTGGTCTTCTCAGTAAACACGACTTTGGACTCGGCTGTGAAGTTCTGTCCGGTGAGGATCATCTGTTGGCCCCCGTAAACCAGGCAGCTGTCGATGTCCTGTCTCTCCACCATGGGTAGCTCGTGCGCGGATCGCTGGGCTGAGGGCCAGAGAAAGAGAAGTCACTGGGACGGCAGGAGAAGTCCGCTCAAAAGAGGCTTTCTGCTTTCACGGCGACCATACACGCTCTGCACCCCTCCCCCTTTGTCACCTGTTGTCATGGCAAACATGGAACCAGCGGCCCCAGCAACTGCGGGCTCTGGAAATGCCATGTTCCTGCGAAAGGGCCCTCAGTCACTTGGGCTAGTTTGCTATGAACCACTCAGGGTTTTTTGTGAATCAAGGGAGAGATGCCTGTTTTCCTTATAGGAAGGCAAGGTGAACAAGATTTGATCTTTATTTCATAAAAGGGCAAATCAATTTTCCATAAGAGAGTCCCTTTGCTGGAGCGTACTCTCTCCTCGTGCACTTGAATGGATCATACGTGCTAAATGCTAGGGCCGGGTTCCTGCAGGTTTTAGACATACTTGCTTGGGAATTCACTGGGAATCCTAAATTGGGTCTGTGAAACAGCATGATGTTGTCCCATCACCTCTCTGACCTCACTTTTAAGGACACCCCCACCCCCACCCCACTGCCTCAGCTGTGTTCCAGCCAGTCTTCTAGAATGTTCTCAAAGTCTCTCAAACATACCCAGCACACTCCGATCTGTGAGCGCTTGCACTTCCTAGTCCCCCCCCTGGAAAGTTCTTCCTGATTACCTGGGTGGCTCCCATTCTCACTTCTTGTAGGTTTCTCCTCCGACATCCCCTTCTCTGAGATGTTTCCTTACCCCATACCCCTCCACCCTCCCACCTTGAGGTTTAAAACAGCTATCCCTGCTCTCTCTCTGTCTCTCTCTCCTTCTCTCCCCTTTATCTTACATTATTAGTCCACCTGCCTTTCAAATCTCTCTCTACTAGAATGTAAGCCCAGGAGGGAGCTTTGTGTACTACTGTAAGCCAGGGGCCAGGAACGGTGCCTTGGATTTAGTAGGGGGTACTCAGGATGGACGCATTGATGGTAGGATTGATAGAAGGAGGCAGATACGGATATATCTCAATATATCTTTTTTTTTTTTTTTAAGATTTTATTTGTTTATTTGACAGACAGAGATCACAAGTAGGCAGAGAGGCAGGTGGGGGGGGGGAGCAGGCTCCCCGCTGAGCAGAGAGCTTGATGTGGGACTCGATTCCAGGACCCTGGGATCATGACCTGAGCCGAAGGCAGAGGCTTTAACCCACTGAGCCACCCAGGCGCCCCCTCAATATATCTTCATACATACAAGAACATACCTATCAATCTCTCTACATACACCTATAGCCTCACCTGTGTCTATGATGAATGAAAGACGGAGAAACAGGACAGGCTTACGCTAAGCATGGGGCTATGATGATATACTTGAATGCTCCCAGCAACTTTTAGAGGAAGGAAGTATTAAAATTATTCACATTTGCCTAGGGAGAAAACTCCAGCTAAGAGAAGTCAGGTGACCCCTGGGCTAAGGGTGTGTGGTGGGACTTAGATCTGAATCCTTCTGGTTTGTCCAGCTCCAGAGCCCCACCCTTTGGTCACTCCATCTAGACCCCGATTTTTCTGGAGGGCCAGCTGCAGGAAAGAACAGAGACCCTCTCCAGCCACCCTTCCTAGGCAGGGGGACAGACATGTCCCTGTCAGCAAGAGCGACCCGTCGGCTCAGGCCTCGCCTTAGCAGCGTGGGCCGCAGAGGCCGGCCCTCCCCTCGTGAGTCAGCCCGAGCTCCTGGCGTTCCTCCCAAGCCCGAGAACTGGGCCGAGGGCCAGGCCTTTCCGTGCCAGGGGCCCGAGGACCTCCCCATCCGGGAGCTGTGGCAGGCAGCAGCCGCGTGAGGCCCGAGGCTCAACGCGAACCCTTCCCTGCCAGCGGGGCTGCACCTCCAGGTAGCCGAGCATCCCCTCCACCTCTCCTGAAACCGTCTCCTTCAGGAGCAACCACGCCCTTGGCAACGTTTCAGGAGTCTGTTGTGGACCAGCCGGATGCTCCCGGCCACTTCACCTTGAAAGTGCAACCCAGTGACTCATGGTGATCCCTGGCTGGTTTCGCTGCCTGCCGGGCTCAGCCCAGGGACCCGCCAGCCAGTGCTATTCCAAGGGGCTGCCAGTTAAGAGTACATATTAACAAGGCCTCACTGCAGAAGCTGCTAATTTCTCCCACATGGGCCGGGTTATTAATCCCTTCTTTCAATAGAAGAGTTTTGTATGACTTCCTAATTGAGCTGCCACAAATGGAGATTTATTAGCAGTGAAAACAGCAGTTGCATTGCCTGGAAAAGCAGGTCCTGACTTTTAAGATCTGCCTTTGATGAGTCTGGGGGACCGCGGGGGGGGCTTCTGGCCCCAGGCATGGGTGGGGAGGCGGCAAGATCCGTCCCTCCCATTTTGCAGGTGGAAAGCCTGAGTCATCACTACTGGGCAAGCCAGCCATGGGCTCTCAGCCAGCCAGGCCGGGGACCGGCTGTGGCCGTGACTCTCGGCGCTGGGTGGGAGGCTGGCCCCGACAGCTGGTCTGTGAATCACTGTGCATTGCTGTGAACACGGCAGTCTCCTTCCCGGAGCAGCTTCACGGTGTCCCCCTGCAAAGCCTCGCAGTTTCAAGCCACCACCTTTTTCTTCCTCGGCTGCATTTGCATTTCCCACCCCTTCTCCTCCTCGACAGGAAAACATTCTTTTTTTAAATAATAGTTTAAAAAGAGAGAACAAGGGTCCAGCCCAGCTAACTGTACGTTTTCCATTCCCCAGTCCTGAAGGTGAGGCGAGAGCTCGGAGCACCAGCATCCCGGGGAGCTTATCAGAAAGACAGAGCCTCGGGTGCCCCCCTCCCCAGACCCAGGAAACCCAAGCTGTCGTGCAACAAGGAAAGGGGAATCCACGTGGTTATTATCCACTAGCAAGTCTGAGAGGCGCTCCTGGCCCTGAGGGCACATGAGAATGAGACCGGAAACTTACAGAACACTGACACCCAGGCCCTAACCCTTGAGCAGGGGCTCTCAGCCTGGGCGCTCCTGATGCAGGCGCCTCCGGTATGAAGATCAGCAGCAGCCCTGGCCTCGCCCCCAACCGGCTGCCAGCCGCACCCCTCCCCTGTGGACAACCAGCACTGTCCCTAGTCATAAAACTGGATGGCCCTGGGGAGGAGGGGGCCAAAATCGTCCCTGGTTGAGAACACTGTTCTATACATTCTGACTTCAATGCTCTGAGGGGAGGACCCCAGCAGAGATTTGTTTTTTCGTTTTTTTAAATGACCTCTAAGGATTCCAGTGGGTCCCACCAGGTATGATCTGCCAGAGACCATCAATGGTAGGATAACGCAGGACCTGGGAGCCAAAGGAGAATTCCTGGTTCACTGCTGCTTGGGCTCTGGGGTCAGAAAGACACGGTTTCTGAGTCTTGTGTCGGCCACCTCCCTGCTGTGTGACCCTAAGCAAGTCACTTCACCTCTCTGGATCACAGATGCCTCCTCGGGAAAATGCTGTCCTCTCCTGCCCTCGTAGGTCTGGTACCAGCATCTCGAGAGAACATACCGCATGTAAACGCGGGCTCGGGCAGTACAAACTTGGCGAAATAGCAGATACCAATCACCCAGACATCCACCGACGCCCGGACGGACGGACCCGCAGAGAAACACGATTCCGCCGCGAGAAGGAATGGAGCACGCTATGGGCCACACCGTGGAGGAACCTTGAACATGTGATGCTAAACGCAAGGCCAGACACCAAGGGACAGCTCTTCCAGGACCCGCAGATACAAACCGTTCGGACCGGGGCGAATCTGCTGAGATGGAACACAGACAGGTGGTCGCCAAGGGCCAGGGAGCACGGGGCTCCTTTCGGGGGTGGGGGAGGGGGGGACAAGCTCTGGAACTAGAGGGTGGCGGTGGCACACCACGAGTGTCCTCCGTGCCATGGATTTATACCCCTTCAAGTGGGTCAAACGGCGCCGTTTGTTATGTGTATTTTATCACAGTAAGAAAAGCATCTTAAGCAAGACAAAAGCACTGAGGCAGGCCCACAGTAACCATTCGAAAAACGACTCTTTCTCACTGTCGACTTTCAAAATGCCACGATTTCTTGCTTAGCCCTTTCCAGAACATTTTCTCATTTGTTGTCTTTTTTAACCCTTCAGGGACAGCCCTGCTAGAGCACAGACCAAGACACTATTAATGTCTCTTAGGCCACAGAGGAACAGACACCCGGCTCCGGCGCCCTCAAGGGGCAGCCCCACGCGGGTGACACCCTGGTCCTAGCTCGGGGGATCCTCGCCTGGGGCTCCTCTAAGCCTGGTTCCCCCTCTGGGCGTCGCAACTGTTCACAGACCCACCTCATGGGCTGATCCAAGACTCCCACAAGGGAACCCACAGGAAAAGAATGTGGCTCAGTCAATTCCAGCCAGCAAGGCTACGGATACAAGACCCTGTAGTAGTGTCTCCAGCAGTTTCCATGCACCAGGCGCGGGCTAAGTGTGGCTGCCTCAGACTCTGCATTTCACCCAGCCTGCGCCCACCACGTCCCGCGCCCACCACGTCCCGCCTGCCGATGCATGCTACTGTGCGTGTCACTGTTTCTCTTGGTGGATCCCAACCCAGAAACTGGATTGCTCAACCTCGACCGGCAGAGTTGCTCAAGAGAAGGCTCCCGGGTCCCCTGCAGCCGGGTGACCCGGTTGGAGGGGGCACCTAATAATCATACAGGTGCTCAAACCACACCCTCCATCTCCAGCACCCAGATCGCCTAGAATTTGCAATGGTAACAACCCTTCCAGGCGGCTTGTTACACACATCTGTTTGAGCGCCAACTCTGACACTTAAAGAGGCCACCTGAGGACGAGGGGACCTCCTCCAGGGGATCCCCCGACATCCTCAGAGAGCCCCCGAGGTAAAGCAAACAAATCCAATTAGCCTCTGAAAGAGGAACTGAAGAGAGGCAAACAGCAACCAAAATTACCCTCCTGGGGTCCACTTCCTCCTCTCTCTCTCTGATGCAACTTCTCACACCGATGGCTGCTAATTGGTCCATCCAAGACCTGC